ATTATAATAAAGAAATTGAATTAAAAAATTACACAAAAAATATGAATTTTAAATAGTTAATTTGATACTAATATCGATATATTTTTATCAAAATTTTATGATATCTTCAAATTAATATTTCATTCAAAAATAAAAATATAATCGTTTTTTTAAAATCACATAAGATCATATTATAACATCGACTGAGATAAAAAATAAAATGAAATATTAAAATCAAGATGTATCTCATTGCATTGTACGAGTATCCTTCTAGTTTATTTATAAACATATATTATATCTTGTAATATAATATACATTACATTATTTAAAAAAAATTAATATTACGTATACGTAGACACATGAATTTTTGTAAATATAATATACACATTATGTATGATTTTAATTATGATATAAATATAGTATAAAAGTAATGTATGAATATTATAAAAAATATTATCAAAATATTTAATTGATTTATGTTATTTATCTATATTATATTATAAAGCATTTGACAAAAACTCTTAAAAATTATTCTTTATGTATGAAGTACTGTTTATCAATGCATATTACTTAAAATTTAAGATTACAAGTAAATTGTGCGTAGATATAACTTATTAAAGCTCTATTTTTGAATTCGTATAACTAACTGCAAATAAACATAATCAAATACAAGATAAACATCTCATTTTAAATAAAAAAAACCTAAAATATAATTAAGACAATCATTGAGTTCTAACATAATCATTATCTTTATAAAAATTATATTGTTAAGTCAAAAATAAATTACTTTGTTATTTGACCTAAATTAAATTATAATAAAAAGTTGAATTAAAGAAATTGTATAAAAAAGAACTTTTAAATAGTTAATTTTATATTAATATCAATATATTTTTTCAAAATTTCATGATATCTTCAAATTTATTTTTATTCAAAAGTAAAAAACAATATTTTTTTCTTAAAACGACATAAACCGTATTATATTAACAAAGATAGAAAATAAAACAAAATACTAAAATGAAGATGCATCTCGCTACATTATGCGAATACACTTCTAATCACTATTAAATGTTTAAAAAAAGCCTTAAAAAGTAATTTAAGCGTAATCTCATCCTTTTAATTTTTTATATTGTCATATCGAGCTTACAAAACACTATATGGAGAATTTATTTGATCGTTTCATAACTGTATGAAACATCAGGCAGAAAACTAGTTGAATTCAGTTCTATTATGTTCACGTTAGAATTAAAAGACGAATATAAAGTCTTGTTTCGCTTCTTATTTATAAGATGTGATGCTAAAGTTTAAAAGTAAAATAAAAAAGACTGTATACATAAATATTTCAAAATAAATTCTTGAAACTTTTGAAATACTACAGTATTTCAGAAATGAGTAGATTAGTATTCTACTGCAGAATTAATTAATTTTTGCTACTAAATTACCAAAATACCCTTTTCAGGTTTAAAAATTGAGATTCTGGTCATTTTTGCAAAAGACAATCTTAAGGAAATTTCCAAATATATTGTGGAGTTGTGGACCGTGTGATTCGATATCTAAGATGTCGGTTTGACATTTATGACGCGTAGGGAGCTTAAATGTCAGGCTTATGAAGGCATCTTTTAACCCCAGAATGTTGTAACGCATGTACGTGTATTCGGTTATTCAAGTGTTCGTATGAGGTAGTTAGTCTTACGAGCGAGATTCTATTACTTCGGACTTTATGTGAATTTCGTTTGCTATTTTTATATGATTGTATATTTAAAATGCGTGAACATGTTTTGTTATATAGTAGTTATTTGTGTGGGTGTATCCGACCCGTAGAGTTGGAAGTAGGGGTCGTAGGATTTGTGATGGCCCACATGATATTGTCGTAATATCATGTACGCAGGTCTGCCAGACTGTGACCGTAAGAGCAAGCAAGTAGACTAGACATGTACGTAAATTTAAGGTCGTACTGGCAACAGGTGGACTCGCCTAATTGATAAATTTAAAATAACAAGAGTAACCATGTGGGTTTGTTGTGTACGTCACAACAAAACTGTGAGTAATCAACCGAAGTTATGTTATGCATGATGTTTTGAAGTGTGTTTTATTGCTATCAATGTCAACGTGCTTAAAATAGTGAAGGTCAATGTTTTTAGGTCTAATCGTGCTGTTTAGACTCACGCAACGAGCTCGGTGAAAATTCAATGAATGAAACCAGTTGGAGGAGCAGTTAAGGAACTCAAACGTAAGCTAGAACCGGAGAAGCTAAGATACTTTAGGTGTTGTTGCAATTTAAATTTAGATGATCTTAATTGGTTTATTTCTATCAGTGAACTTCTTTTAGAACATGGGTAGTTACGATTCCACCTTTTTATTCTATATATATTTTGCTTTATTCTTCTAAGGCAGTCATACGTTCGAGTTATCTGTTGTTCTTTTTGATTTCTCCTATAATAGGTTACAACTGACGTGCGTATAATCGGCTAACTTTTACCGGGTAAATTGTTGTATATAAAGCCGTTTTTGTTAACTAAAACCTTACCTGGTAAGTAAATGACAGTGTTGAATTTTACCGGTAAGTGTTGACCGGGTAAGTGTATGGTAAACGACCTCTAAGTGCATGCATAATAAACATTGGCAATACAAAGATGATGCAAATTGGAGCCATATGATGAACCACATATGTCTCGCCGGTCATGGAAATTATATCGGCTTTATTATGTTGCACTGGATTTGGGATCATCATCCAACAATCAGATTCATACAATTTAAATATCAAATTTTTGGATTCAATTTGATCAAATTACAATTGGATCAGATTGTTGGATGATAATCCCAAATCCAGTGCAACATAATAGATATGATATAATTACCATAAAATTGAATTTATTATGTTGCACTGGATTTGAGATTATCATCCAACAACCAGATTCATACAATCTAGATATCAAAATTTTGAATCTAATTAAATCAAATTACAACTGGATTGGCTTGTTGCAGTTTGATCATATGGCTGTCTACGTACCTGTATCCAGTGACATAGTGTCATTAAAGGCATACACGTAGCAGAAAGACACTGTAATCAAACAAAATGGATTATATCGAGTATTTTGAAAACATGTCTCAGAAGATGAGTCAGATTATAAATTCTTTTCGATTGTTTGTAAATTAATTATCATTATTTATATTTATATCTGATATATTTATAAACTTTATGTGATGTCAAGTCCACCTCTCAAATTTATCGAATTATTTTTTATGGGTAATGCTATATGTACTTATTTTATGTCAGAATCAGGTCAAATAATGTAATGAGAACGTAAAAGTATTAGTAGATAAAAATACATTTAACAACACATACATGTTTTTATACTAAGAGGTTGTTTGACAGTTGTTGAATGGTTTGATGCAGAATGATTAAGTGGTCAGAATGATTAACAGGCTTTCATGATATAGTGCAAAATAAAATATAATTGTTTGATAATTATTTACAATGAAATCAGGACACTTAATGGTTAAGGGAGGCTTAAGATACAAAATCATTTAGAGGGTTTTAAAATCATTAAGAGACATACTTTTTTTTTGACAAACAAGATTCACCTCTTAATGATTCAAATGCCGCCTCTTAATGGAACTATTAAAAGGTAAACAAACTACCCCTATATAATTGTTCTTAAAAATCTAATTTTATTTCGAAAAAAGTGTATCTATACTATATTATAAAACATTTGACAAAAACTCTTAAAAACTATTTTTTTATGCATAAAGTACTGTATATTGATGCATATTACTTAAAATTCAAGATTACAAATAAATTATGCATAAGTACAACTTATTAAAGCTTCATGTTTGAATTTGTATAACTAACTGCGGATAAACATAATCAAATAGAGGATAATCTTCTCATTTTAAAATATAAAAAATCTAAAATATAATTAGGATAATTATCGAGTTCTAATAGAATCATTATCTTTATAAAAAAATTATTGTTAAAAAGCCAAAAATAAATTACTTCACTATTTGATCTAAATTAAATTATAATAAAAATAAATGAAAATAATAATTTTTAAATAGTTAATTTAATATTAATATCGATATATTTTTTATAAATTTATTTTTAGTCAAAATAAAAATATTATCTTTCTCAAAACCACATAAACCATATTATATCAATAAATAAAAAATTAAAATTAAATATTAAAAAAAAAATATATCTCGTTGCATTATGAAAATACCATTCTAGTAATTCTAAAATAAGGTAAACCCTAAACCTAAAAGCGAAAATAAAGAAATATATTTTTGGATGATTGGATGCAAAAGTAAAATCGATGGTTGAGAATTGTTGATGTCCATGGGAGTCAGGTGCGGAAAAAGCACAGGAACACAAACTCTTATCTGGCAACAGCACCACTTAAACTCATAGCATGCCCTTCTCGGAACCCCCTTTTCCCCCTCTCTCGAAGCCTCATCTCTCTACCACCTCCCTCTCTCTCGAAGCCTCATCTCTCTACCACCAACTGAACCCCACGCATTCTCCCACCGCAACTCCGCCCCTGACCACCGCAACTCCGCCGTGCGTAGCTTGAAAGGAAACTCCAATTCGACGCTCCAGAGTGCTCCGTAGCTTCACTTTCAGGTTTTATAATTGAATTTCAATCAATTTACATTAATCGAACGTGCCTGTTTACTCTAATTCGTCACCACTGTTTTCGTATTCGTTTTCGTATCATTTTTGTGTATGAAATTAGTCGTTAGTGGATGAAGTACCCTGGCTTCGTTGACGTAGGGTTTTGTTGAGAGGAGTTGTTTAGAATGTGGATTTTCTGAGCAAATCGCTTCACACTATACTGATTATCATCCGGAATTCGTGACCTCTTGAGGAACATCGTTTTTCTCAATTAAATGTATATAGTAGGTATATGCTCGTCCGTTTGTTAACAAGACGAGTCAGTTTCTTTTTGAAAGGTAATAGTAGAAGATACACATGAATTCTTATTCGTAGAGCATAGTGGGCAGTTTAACCTAATCCCGTGATGGTAGCTAAGTTTCTGCTCGTTTACAAGCTCAGAACTATTTATAGACACTTGTGAAAACTATAATTCTGTTTGTTTGTTTGCAGAGGGTATATCTAATGGCAATCGTGCCTGGTGGGAGTACATGGGTGGCTCGATGGGGAGTTCAACCTCAATTAGTGTCCAGAGCTTCTTTAACAAGCAAGTCGTTTATGCATTTGCCTCTGTGAGTAATGTTATCGCCATTCGAAGTTATTGTATGTGTTGACAAATGAATCCTTTTACATCGGCCATCCTATGTTTTGTTGCTGAATTACTGCAGTTGTTGCTGTAATATTACATGGAATCATGTTTTCCTTCCCTTCAATCATGTTTAGCTGGGGTTGTTTTTTTAACAATGGTTCACGTACTCTAGGTATCTCCACATGTGCCTCAACAAGGCTAAACAAAACCACAAGGGTGATAACCCATTGGTTTGAGCTTGGGCTCCAAAGGTCAAAAGCGCGTGGAGGTCCCACGTTCGAACCCAAGGAGGAACAAAAATCCCTTTGTGGCCACAGAGGTTCAAATGTGGTGACTCCGGGCTACCCACAAAGCGGGTGGTCGTCCTGGGATTAGTCGGCTCGCATAGCGGGTTGGATATCCAGGTTAATAAAAAAAACAAGGCTAAACAAATTATTCACGTTTTTACCTTTTATATTGCTTTGGATTTGTAAGCTAGCAAACTTTGAATAGCATGTGGGTGGATCTAGGTTCATCATAGGCTGGTAGGCAGCCAATTTAGTAGAGATTTTAAATACGATACTCATTGGTGTCTACGCATGAATATATTTGGAAAATTTCTTAGCACATCAAATCTTCCCGACTTCCCCACTATTAGAAATACTTGGAAGATCATGTATCATTCGGATTTGGGGTGGGCATTTTGTTGCAAGGATTTTTTTAATGATATGGGCAGTTACATTCACTTGGTTAAATGGGTTAGTTAAACTGTCCATTCCTGGTTAGAGGTTTCATTTGGTTCACATGTGTCAGAGTAGGACAATATTAGTAACATGCTTTGCTGGTTCATCATGATGCATTGATATGAAATGCTTTAGTATGGTTATGACATGCATTATGTTTATATTTATATGTAATGAGAGGGCGTATCAATATGTCTTGAATTTAGCATACAAGAAATAGCACTTAAGCAGGAATATTGTAACTACTGAATTGATTGTCATTTCATGGTCATGGAAATAATTTGCAAGGCATAGATGTATCTTACTTGATATGATGTTCATGTGGTACAGTGGTAGTGATAAAGCTGTGATCATCTATGCATTCAAATGCCATTTGACAAATAACAATCATTTTAGGATAGATCTTATGTGTTGTTGAAAAATTCTTATGGTGGCCATGGGAGTTGGATTATTGCTGTTTTACTCCAGTTAAAATCAGAGAGAGAGAGGGACAAGAAGAACAAATGGACCTCTGAACCCTATTTTTTTGCTTGTGCCCTTGACGTTCTCCATGTGTTTTTTTTCACCGATTGCATCCCCCATATCTTACTTTCCAGCAGAAACAAAGTGATAGTTTTCCTCTTTTCTAATATATTTTTAAATTATTTGTCTTCACTCTTCCATCTCCTAGTGTTGAATGTTTATATGTTCTCTCCCTCTCATACACATTAATTCTTGTTAACAAAGATATTTTTGATCAACACCTTACCATGACTCTTTGCTACTGAACCCACATTTCTTCATTCTGGCAACATTTTTCGCAACTGAAGGTCTCATTGTGGAAGTTGGGGAAAAAGCCTATTTTTGAACAATATTGTTAATTATTTACTTCTTTCTTTGACTTGCCTGTATCTCACCAGAACTCTGATACAAAAGATCTGGCACTTCACTCGAGTGCCGAGTTAGAACAATTTGATCACTCAAATCAACCATGATAACCCACATGGAACTCCTAAACCGTATAAGGCTTCTGAATTTTTCTGTCGACTCCTCTTTAGACTATGGAATGCTTTTACACTTGTATGCTAGGTTCTACTTTTGTGTTCAGATGGCGAGATATGTGAAATGCACGAGCCTATAGGATTGACTCACTTAGAGTTGCATAACGTTGGTTTGAACTGGCCTAGTCACTTGTACCATCAAGGTCTTTATCCATAACTCTCACAGTACTATTTGTTTGCCCGAAAGTTAAGTAACTGCATATATTCCAGGTGTATTTATTTATTGTGTAAAAACCTGACTAGGCCCGATCTTGACCTCTCGGCAAGGACTGAGCAATGGGCAATTGGGCATTATTGTTATATTGTTATTTATAAGATGATATGATAGTTTTCAAATAGGTGAGAACTAAAACTTCACCTTGACTATGGCGCTCATATTGCATATACTGAGAGCTTTTGATCTATGGTGATGTGGTATGGAAAGAGAAACATTGGTTGCACGCCTATGATCTCATACAATACGAACCACAACATTTTCTCTTGCTTAATGTGATGTTATTGATTATATGCAGCGAGAAATATAGGAGCATTACTAAAACATCTAAATTTTTATATAGTTCTATGCTTCTATAGTGAAGTGCCTAAGTGTTTACTTGACACAAGCATGTCACACTTTTTACCAATTGAAATTTTGCTAGATGGCTTGGGACATGGAAATTCAAATCTACTTGTTAGAACTTAGATGCACTTTAAAACAAAGCTAAATTATGAGGTTGTCCTCTCATTTAGCTGGGCAGTTAAAATGAGTACAGGATTTCTATATGTTTAAATTTAAGTACATGATTTCTTTATGTTTAAATAGGTAGAAAAGCTATACCTTAAGAAGAAGCTATCTTAAGAGCCAACTGCATTATGCCTGGACTATGAGCCTAGACATAGAAACTACAACGTTCTAGTTCATGAAGTAAATCACCTGTTCTCTTAGGCTCCAAGTAGAAATATGTGAATAATTATTGTATGCTTCAGWGCATGATGTCATGACATGCAAGATGCATAGGTATTGTTTTACATTGCTGGATTTCAGGAGATGCACGGGTCTGATTATTTTGGTTGGAGTTATACTTACGTAATTGTATTGTAACATGGAATTGTTTTGTGAAGAATTCTTTAGCGATTAATATTCATTCTAGACAGTTCTGATGATATTGTTGTTTCTAAAGCCACTTATTCATTATAGCAACTTATCTGCTCATTCACCATAGAGTGATATATGATTGTCTTTATCGCTTCCACAGCTGAACACCACCTTTTGCTCCATGCACCTATATAGTAATGATTCTTGTATTAAAGTGAGATGTCCCAGTGTCCAACATAATAAAAAACTTGTATGCTGCACATTGACCATTGTTGCTTTCTACACCACGTATCATATKGTATGAGAGACTGACTTAAGTATGAATGTCATAGGTTATGGAACATCATTGTTTTTTTGGAAACAAAAATGGTTTAACTGAAATTGACCGAGTATCTCTAACCAAAACAATTTTATGAAGCTAAAAAGAACCTCTCTGGGAGAGTCATAACCCGCACAAACTATTGCTGTGTCAATTTTTGTTCTTTTTACTGTTGTAGGGTTGTTGTTGAAATACTTAATTGTGGCTTCAATCTGTTCGGCTAAAGCTTGGTTTGATTTCTAACAGCTTCTTACTTAAAGGTTTTGTACTAGTAGAGAGATACATTCTAATTTCTTCCCATTTGGAGGACTAAATTCCTATAAGTCAAGTGATTACGTTTGTTTATATGGTGGAAGAAGCTCTATCCTGGGTAATGCAGTTCAGCTTATATGCTTATCAGGTGTCAACTGATCATGAAAGAGTTCAAATTTTCATCATTTTCTTGCAAATGACCTTGTAAACTGCAGATTCTCGTGGCTAAGTTTTTTCAATTTCTTTCGGCTTTTACACTGCATGTTGGATTATCTATTTTGTATACAGTGACGCATCTTCTTATATCTAAATCTAATGTCTGTTTAATTTTTCAGTGTTCCGATCAATACAAGAGAATTGGCATCACCATGTTCTGCCTTCTGTTCACAAGGTTCTCTGCATGCACTGTGTGATATGGGGTCATTTGGCAAATCTCATCACAGAAGAGGTGGCCGCCTCGTTGTTAGAGCTGAAAGTGTAAGTTTGCTGTTAGATCATCTTCTTGAATGAAATGTCATTCAATTTATATGTTGCCCTTTGTTATTCATATGTTGATCATTTTAGTGCCTCTATCTTGTACACAGGATTTTTATTCAGTACTTGGCGTGTCAAAGAATTCTAGCAAAGCAGAAATAAAAAGTGGTTAGTACATTTCTAAACCCATGGTAGATTGATTGGAGTTTCTTTAAGCTACTCTTTATTCGTAGCCCGTGATAAAGTTACTTGTTCATCATTACTGTTGATACATGCTTTATGATAAGCACTTTCACTGTTTCACATTTTTTACTTTAGTGCAAATGTCATTATCCCTGCACTGCCTTTCTTCTTTGTTTCACTCTTGGACGCACTGACTGTTGCTCACTGGATGCTCACATCCCAAATTTCTTTGATAAAATTATATCACAGGTTTGGAATTTTATCCTTACTTCCTTTGTTTATTGGCAGCAAAGACATCATGATTTTCCTAGGGGAAAGTTGCAAACTGTTGAGTTTATAATCTTTTTTCAATGAAGTTTTAATATAAAACGGAGCCACATTTGGATTTCTCAATACACCTGGTCTTGAAATCTGCTTTAAGTCCTTTTTGTTGGCTCATAAGATACAGTGGTTGAAGGTCTAGGGTTATTCTTTGATACAGGTCTCTAAATTCATCTTGCTGATAGTTCTAATTGTGTTGGTGGAGCCTTTGTAATGCAATATTCCATGTTATTGGCAATTTTATTATTATCTCCCTTCAAGGCATGATATACCTGGTGGGGTTTGTGCTATTGTTTGTGCTTGGACTTAAACTCAAATTATAACCTTAAATTCTAATATCTTGGGAGACTATCAGTTGAACATGGTAGATGCAGATTCATTTTAGTCTCTCTCTTTTCGAATGTACTATTTGACAGTTGTTCGTTTACCCTACATGAGGTCTTATGGTCGTCAAGGAAATCTGTTTATAGTTTAGAGGATATAATGCTCCCTGGGTACAGAGCCTCACAGCTTTGTGCCTGTGATTATCTGGGCAAGGCCATGATCCTTGAAGACATATATGTTGTCCTAACATGCAATATGTTATATCTTCTGTATTTGATGCATATATCTTCTTTATGTATGGGATGATTGCCAAAAAAGATCCAACTGTTCAACCCAACTGTTTTTAGAGGTTTTACTGCAACACTTGGCTTGGTGTATGCTATCTTGTCAAACATGTTTTCTGTATTCCAATATACTTGCTTGCAACAACTTCTTGTGGCTGTTCTGTATCAGTTTCTAGGAAAGGTGATTCTGAATTTTCTAACTACATTTTTGTATCATGTTTTCTGTGATCATAACTAACTGTTTGTCCTAAGAAAATGGCGTGCTTTTGGTGGAAAAGTCTAACTCTGTAAATCCATTTTCAGCATATAGGAAGCTTGCAAGGAGTTACCATCCTGATGTGAACAAGTAAGTTCAACTGCCATTTCCAGCTTTACAAGATCTCCAATAATTTGGTTCAGTTTAACTGCTATATCCACTACCTATGTTAATGATGGCTATGATTTGTTTGGTAATGCTTGGCAAGAGACACAGACAACTATTACTGTTTCTTTTTCTTTGTGGGGAATTCTCTGAGATTAACTAAAGTCAACGGTCATTGTTTATCCGTTGTTGGATTCTCAGTCTTCAAAATGCTCGTAGAACTATGTTTTCTCATGATTACTGCTCAATACTGAACATCTGCGTCATCTTGTAATTTACTAGTTTCTCTTGGCACCTGAAGTACTTTCATTTATCTACTAGATGAAGTTTGTTGTGTGAAAATTAAAATACATCATCTCAGGATACATGCCGCCTCCAACTTTTGATTTATAACGAATGTCGTGGTATATTTAACACATGTGTTGATCATATTTTCAGCAGTTGAATCTAAGAACTTTTCTCACCTGTTCCCTTTTGATTTTTTGATTTTGCATCCACTTGTTTGTGCAACTTTTTTAGCAATTTTTTATCATCGACATCTATATGCTTGTTTGAACTCATCTTTTTTGTATCTTTCCAGAGAACCAGGAGCTGAACAAAAATTCAAGGACATTAGCAATGCTTATGAGGTCGGCTCTAACTCATATTTTAATGAATTGTCAAGAGCTACCAATAAGTTTTGTTTAGATTCTACTGTATGTCATGCTTAGTTTTTTCTCTTGTCCTAAAAGTTGTCGGTATGGTTTTGTGATTCCTTGTTTGTTTTATCTTTTGTTCTCCTCATGTGTCCATGCTACCTTATTTGTTCAATGTATTTGTTGCTTGTTTGCACACACTCACCTGCTACTTTTTGCACCTCTTTCCTTTTAATTTTCGTTTTGAAAGCCGAGGGTCTTCACAGAAACAACCTCTCTACCCCTTGGGGTAGAGGCAAGGTATGCGTACATCCTACCTCCAGAGCGGGTCCTTTGGTTAAATGATGTTCTGACAGGTTTGAGAATGTCGATGCTTAACAAAAGAATGCCACTTCCATATGCAAGAATGACTAGAAACCTGTCAGAAGGTCGTGGATTGAAAAAAACACTTGTCAGGAGGCCATTTAGCTATATAACCCCCAGACCCGACCTCCGTGTGGGAGATTATGGGTTGGTTTGGTTTGGTTTGGTTTATTTTGATGGTAAAGTTGTTATGCAGGTTTTATCAGATGATGAGAAGCGATCCATATATGACAGGTATGGGGAGGCTGGGCTTAAAGGTGCTGGCGTTGGCACAGGGGTGAGTCCTTCTACCTAAAGAATAGTTAATTGTATATCCTTTTCAGATCTAAAATTTGTTGCATTTGCACATTCAAATTGGTTTACAGGATTTTAGCAACCCATTTGATCTCTTTGAATCATTGTTTGATGGCTTGGGTGGGATGGGCGGGATGGGTGGCATGGGAGGAAGAAGTCAACGTAACAGGGCTACACAAGGGGAAGACCAGGGTTACAATCTGGTTCTAAACTTCAAAGAAGCCATATTTGGTGTTGAAAAGGAGATTGAAGTAACCCGGCTCGAGAGCTGTGGAACTTGCAACGGGTCCGGTGCCAAACCCGGGACGAATGCATCCAAATGCACCACATGTGGTGGTCAAGGTCAAGTCATCTCGTCGGCTAGAACCCCATTGGGCGTGTTTCAGCAAGTCATGACCTGCTCTTCTTGTAACGGAAGTGGTGAAATCTCCACTCCTTGTAATACATGCAGCGGAGATGGACGAGTAAGAAAATCCAAGCGGATCAGCCTCAAAGTTCCGGCCGGAGTGGACGCAGGCAGCCGTTTGCGGGTCCGGTCCGAGGGCAACGCTGGAAGGAAAGGTGGACCCCCCGGAGACCTATTTGTGATGATCGACGTTCTTTCAGATCCCGTTCTGAAACGGGATGACACAAACATTCTCTACACTTGCAAAATCACGTATATCGACGCTATATTGGGGACGACAATGAAGGTGCCGACGGTCGATGGGATGGTGGATCTGAAAATCCCGTCCGGGACCCAGCCGGGGACGACGCTGGTGATGGCAAAGAAGGGGGTGCCGGTCTTGAACAAGAACAACATGAGGGGTGATCAGTTGGTGAGAGTGCAGGTCGAGATACCGAAACGGTTGAGCGGAGACGAGAGGAAGCTAATCGAAGAGCTTTCAAACCTCAAGAAGGGAAAAGTTCCCAACAGCAGCAGTATATAATAGGGTAAACGGGAACCGAAAATTTTACGGTTTCTTTCACAAATTTCAGTTGCAAGGTTTTACCCACAGTTGAATCACCAAGTTCGTCATGGATTTGTTGAAGGGACCGCAAATTAGTGCGGTTTTTGGGGTGTAGATCATGTAAGGCAAATCTATACATGGTTTATATAATACTGGCTGCTGGTGTGAAGTAGAGAGGGATTCATATAATTTATTGCTAAATATCTTTGGCAGGATTTTGGATTTTGGATCTTGGATTTTGCTTATAAAAGTGTAAATTGGTGCGCACATTAATTACCCTTTGTTGATTGACATCCATTATGTATGTTGATTGACATCCATTATGTATGTCATGTATACCTACTAGGAGGTTTCTTCTAATCGCTGGTTTGAACCCTAGACCTCTTGGGAACCTGGGTCTAACGGTAACCCGGGTAGTAACGTTGGACCAAAGACCCTTTGATGCCGACTCGGGGGTTACCAATTAGGAACCCTTTTTTCCACAAATCAGAAGAGGTTTCTTGCAACCGCTTGGATTGTAGCATATTCGTTAAGGCTAATGGGATGTAGTGGAAGTCTCATATTTCTTGAATTTGAATCCAAACCCCGTCAAAGCCTTTGTGGCCATGGAGGTTCACGTGCAATGATGCTAGGCCATTCATGGTCGCCAGAGGATTAGTCGGTGTACGTAAGCTGGAACAGAAACCCACGGTTACATAAAAAAAGTGGTTCCTTGAGAATCCAATGAAACCATATCGAGCATGACGGGATCATAATACAACAATCATATCATTTTCCAAATTATCAAGACAGACTTGAAAAACCACTCTTAACACAAGTTTAAGATTCGATCTCAAGAAGTGAAGTTTTGTTGGATCAAAATTTGAGCACCTTCGACAAATCTCTTTACTACTTGAGCAGCTGGTAAGATATCGTTGATAAGTCCTACGCCTTCGCCTGCATACATCACCATGCTTTCGATATCCCCTGTTGTTGTCTTGTTCGGCACCGTACCAGCAAATACGCGAATATCTTTCTCCTATATATCAAACAAGACCAGACAAGTCGAGTCAATCATGTCAAATTTTTTCGTGCTTCATCTTATGAAGTTTGTATTATACGGTTCATCAAAAATATTGTTGGAATCCCACATCAATTAGACTCGGACCATTTCTCTTAATATATCTTGAACACATGCATTTGGTATGAAGACAGAATAGGACGGGACCAGAGAACTAAAGTGAGGTAGACGGGTGAAAGAACATGAAATAACGAGAAAGAGATGCTTACGGTTCCATGTATTGTTGAATGGCCAATAACCGGTTGATTAGCCTCATTCTCATTACTTGGTAGATTTCTCCATTTCATGAAGAAAGGTGTTTTGAGGACACGGTGAGGCGCTCCTGGCCACCTGGCACGGCCAAATACATTCGTATACTCTGTTTTGTTCATTTCAACCACCTTCCTTTTGTACATCGGGTGAGCATTGCTCTCCTCCGTAGCAAGAAACCTAAATGAAAGCAATCCAACTTTACTTCAAACCCCAAAACCAAACCAAACCAAACCAAACCAAACCAAACCAAACGAGCCCAGAATGTCCTCTAACCAAGGAGTATAACAGTTGTTTCCATGAAAACCACGGACTTGTGAAAAATGTTAAAACCATAAACCTCAAAATCAACGTACCTGGTGCCTAAGCAGACGCCTTTAGCTCCAAGTGCCAATGCAGCAACATAGCCTCGCTCATCGACTATTCCACCAGCAGCGATTACTGGTATGCCCCTCGAGGCAACAAGATCAACTATTCGTGGTACCAGCGCTATCAATGCTTCCTGAAAATCATTCCACAAGCCCAAGAACGATTCTTGTAATCAAAACGAAGTTCATTAAAGCGTTTTGTGCAGTTTTATGCGTGCCATAAGTTCGGTATATACATATTTGACATTAGATCAGATTACTAATCAGAAGGAATGATTCAAAAACCTGATACCTGACCGATAACATGTCCTCCTGCTTCGTGTCCCTGAACAATTATAGCATCCACACCAGCATCCGCAGCTAGTTGTGCTTCTTCAAAGCTTCCGATCTACAAAGAGGATTATATTACTTCCAAACTACAAATATTATTGATGTTTTACAGTTAACTTGTGGACAAAAGTGTGAAAATTTACGTCTATGAATGTCTAGTATTCAAGAAACCAAAGGGTCACTGGCTTAGCAGTATCCAGGTTACAGGAGGTCAGGGTTCAAACCTCACCAACGGTGTGGAGTGTGTGTGAGTATTTGCCGTTATATACTTCAAAGAAATAGTATTCAGGGAAGAGGGCTAACCTGGGGAACAACCTTGACCCCGGCTCGATGGGCTTCGGAGACTATATCTTTGGTGACTTCTCCCCAGTAAAGCTGCAAGATAGCAACTTTCTCTTCAAGGACACACTTCAAGTTTTGTTCGTGAGGGAATGCCAAAACGATGCCGACTCCGAATGGTTTGTCGGTCAAAGTCCTTGTCTTCCTTATGAGCTCCCTCAGGTAATGTGGGGATTCCTGTTATGGAGTTTTGATATGGTCGAGTTAAAATCTATGAACTGAAAAAGCACTGGAGATAGATGGATAAATTTTCTGCAGATAGCGAATTCTGTTTTATAGATCTGATCGATCATTGGTACATGCATCTGATGTAGAATATATGTGTGTGTATATATATATATATATATATATATATATATATATAGAGAGAGAGAGAGAGAGTGACCCAATCAGGAGCTCGAAGGATACCAATGGCACCGGCATTAGCAACGGCGGCGACAAGCTCGGGACCGGAAATATCGGGTCCTAAAGGTGCCTGCACGATTCCATACTCAAAACCCAGAATCCCTTTCCATCCCATTTCTCCAATTTCAGTTTCAATTTCGATTTCTTCATTGCTATTTACAGACGGGAAGAAGCAAAGCAGACGATAATCATTACATAACTGCTTACGTAGTGGAAGCAAAACCCAAACAGACAACCTCCACCCCTAATTCAGGGGGGTTTATGTTTTTCTTTTAAAAAGTATTTATTAACTAATGTAGTATTAAACCGAAGTTTTGTAAAAAAAGTTTAGATTAGTTTATAACGATATCAAAAAATAATAAATTGGTAATTTATTTTTTTAGTGTTTAACAAATTTTGTTTATATATGAGAGTGTTTGAGATTGCTTATTAATTTATTTGATTTTTTAACACGTAAAAATTTATTTTTTTATTATTTATAATAATATTTTTGACAAAAAATTATATCAATAAGACTAATAATTAATAAACAGAGTTAAAATGATAAATTGATAATAAACAGTTTTTTATAAGTCAGGAAAGATTAACTTATCAAAAATTACTTATTACCGATTTAACACTGACATAAGTAATTTTATTTTTCTTCATCCAAACACTAATATTTAACTTATCATTGATGTCAGACTAAAATAAGTAAAAAAAACCTAAAAAAACCGATCCCAAAATATTTCTAAATTCCAACTTTATAATTTTCATTAATCAATTTGATTTTTTCAAACTTTAAAAGAAAGGAAATAAGGAATTGGTGGCTGGTTTATTGACACCTGTCAATGATTAACTTCCGAACACGTGGCGGGTGGTGGGGGCTACACTTCATCCGCCGGATGTTACCATCTGCCACCAGAACAATAACACACTCCGTTTTCCGTCTGTCTATCAACAATCGCCGCCATGACAACCATCGGCATCGGATCCTCCTCTTTCTCCTCCACCTCCCTCCTCAAACCACAACCCCACCACCACCACCACCACATACTCCTTAAACCAACCCCATCAAGAACTCCCAAACCGAAACCAATCTCCGCCGTCCGCGCCACCGAAAAACTCCCCGCAAAATGGAACCCAGATAGCTGGAAATCGAAACCGGCCCTTCAAATCCCAGATTACCCCGACAAAGATCAGCTCGAATCCGTCCTGAAAACCCTAGAATCTTACCCTCCGATTGTGTTCGCCGGCGAGGCTCGGAAACTGGAGGAACGGTTAGGCGAGGCCAGTCGTGGCGATGCTTTCTTGCTTCAAGGAGGCGATTGTGCAGAGAGTTTTAAAGAATTCAAAACCGATAACATCAGAGACACTTTCCGGCTTCTCTTACAGATGGGTGTCGTCCTCATGTTCGGTGGTCAAATGCCCGTCATCAAGGTGCATACTTTCTTTCTTTCTATAATCCATGGAAGATATCACTGAAAATGATGGTTGCGTAATTAGGTCGGGAGAATGGCCGGCCAGTTCGCCAAACCAAGATCGGACTCCTTCGAGGAGAAGGACGGGGTTAAGTTACCGAGTTACCGAGGTGACAATATAAACGGTGATGCATTTGACCAGAAATCAAGAATTCCCGATCCGAATAGAATGATTCAGGCTTACACTCAATCTGTCTCCACCCTCAACATCTTACGGGCTTTTGCTACCGGAGGCTATGCCGCTATGCAAAGAGTTAACCACTGGAATCTAGATTTCACCGAGCATAGTGAACAAGGAGATAGGTATCGTTCTCGTTCCCACCACCATCATACCACCGTGGCTCGGTAATGAAATTTGTGTAATTTGATAGGTATCGGGAACTGGCTCACCGAGTTGATGAAGCGATGGGGTTCATGGCTGCGGCCGGACTCACAATTGATCATCCGATCATGACGACGACTCCATTTTGGACGTCCCATGAGTGCTTGCTTTTGCCTTATGAGCAAGCACTTACAAGGGAAGACTCTACTTCGGGACTTTACTATGATTGTTCGGCTCACATGGTTTGGGTCGGTGAACGCACACGCCAACTTGATGGTGCTCATGTTGAATTTTTACGAGGAGTTGCGAACCCTCTTGGCATCAAGGTATGTATTTGTTAAAGATTGCATCTTTTCATGCTTTGAGTTCGATCATAAACTGGACCTCTCTGGTACTTTTGACATTTGGAGTCGAATTCAAACCAATCAGACACCACCCTTGTGGTTGGTACTCTATTAGTTGTAGTAGGGAACACACATTTCTTTTGTATTTGCTGTCGGTTGGTCGTAATCAGGGGCTTTTCGTGATGCAGGTTAGTGATAAAATGGACCCGAACCAACTTGTAAAGCTCATTGAAATCTTGAATCCTCGTAACAAGCCTGGAAGAATCACCGTGATTTCAAGAATGGGAGCTGATAATACCCGAGTGAAGCTTCCTCATCTGATCAGGGCGGTTCGTGGTGCTGGTCAAATCGTCACCTGGGTTAGTGACCCAATGCACGGTAACACCATCAAAGCTCCGGCGGGGCTCAAAACCCGTTCTTTTGATGCTATCAGGGTATGCTCGATCGTTCGTTCTTTTGTTAGTTCGTTCAGTACCCTCTGCTTACCAAACGCACCGTAAAGATTTTCACTTGAATTGAAACCGTGGTGGTTTGTTGCGTAGGCGGAGGTGACGGCGTTCTTTGACGTGCATGATCAAGAAGGAAGCTTCCCGGGTGGTGTTCATCTAGAAATGACGGGGCAGAACGTGACCGAGTGTGTTGGGGGTGCTCGGACCATCACTTACAACGATCTGAGCTCACGCTACCACACCCATTGTGACCCCCGGCTCAATGCTTCTCAGTCTCTCGAACTCGCCTTCATTATTGCAGAGCGGCTCCGTAAGGGACGACTCCGTCGTGGCATTAGCAGCACCGGCAATTTCGTACGTTAGGCATGGTCCCTCTATATATAAAGTTCTTTTGAAATAATGTTTGGTGCGTTTCAATGGAATATATATATATATATATATATATATATATATATATATAGACATACACAACAAACATAGTTAATGGACGGTACATAAAACGATATCGTTCGTAACGTTATTCTTAATGTTAAAAAATTAATGGAATATGTTTGTCATAAAGACATTCTCTACAAAACTCTAGCTCAACAACTTTATCAACTCCAAGTAGCCCTCTTCGACTCGATTCAGATATGCCATAAAAGCTCATTTGACCGAGCCAAAGGTGCCATAAACGCGATCAATTCGTTTCGTATCTTTGAAACAACCGCTGCATTGCCAGTAACTTTGTGACCATCCAAGATGTAGAGATTTGAGGTCTTATGATTTGCCTTCTCACGACCTATTGGACATAATATAATGTACTTTGTAAAAGCTTAAAATAACGTTGTTTTATGTATGTCATTAAAACAATATTGAAGAAAACATCCAAACCGTTTGATCCTAAATTTGGTTGTTAGCCGGACGCAAATTTAGATATAGAGTAAACCACGTTTTTCATTCATTCATGTGATTTGCAAAAAATTGCTAACTTCCTCCTTATATTTTCTAAATTACAGTTTCTGTCTTAGGGATCGTTTATCAAACACTTACCTGGTAAGTGCTTACCGGAAAAAATTAACACTATTATTTACTTGCCGGGTAAGATTTTAGTCCACCAAAACGACATCGCATAAAACAATTTATCCACTAAGCGCTTACTGTGGTAAGAGTCGTCACCCTCATTTACCGGGTTAGACTTTTGGTCATTGTCTCGCTCTTACCGGGTAAGATTGTTGGTCTTTACCATATTCATTCGGTGAGATAATGTTATCTAGTAAACGCTTACCCGAGTAAGCGTTTGGTAAACTATCCCTTAGTGGTTTACAAGTTGTTGCTTTATGTGTCCCCATGGTTTACCATTTATTGCTTTTCATCTTTATGGTTTATAATTTACTGTTAATTTCATCCCTCATCCTTAATTGAATTATAAAACTATAGGGACAAAAAGTACAAATTTTACAAGTACAAGAACGAAAGTCACAGTTCTAAACAAACCATGACAATGAAAATCGTAATTTACTCTTTAAGATTTATTTTAGTTTACAAAACACGAATCTAAAACATTTTAGTTTCAATTTTAAAAATAGAAATGTATTCGGTTCATGTTTCGAACCAAAATCCCGCTTTTTCAGAAAATCTTGAATCAAAACCACTTTTTAACGAAGTTCATAACCCATTTCGTTACACGAAATACTTTCGAAAGATTTGGATTTCATAAAAGAATTTAGAATTGGAAGGATGTTGAATCTTTGATGCGTTTAATTTGTAGGATTTTGAATCAAATTGAATTCTATTTTTTATAAATAGTTTATAAAAACAAATTAAATTACCATTTTATTATTACAAAACAAAACGTTTGTTAACATATTTTAAAACATTATTACAAACAAATCCCATAAATACCAACTATCCTAATAAATCCGGTTTCTTTAAACCAAACACAGGATTAGAATGGATTCTAAATATAATTCCAAATTTTGACAACAAAAACAGTGACATGTCAACAATCGAGTATAAGTATGTGACCGATAAATGTTTTTATGCAGTCATTTATTTATTTATTTTTATTTTTTTGATTAACCTGGATATCCAACCCGCTATGCGAGCCGACTAATCTCAGGACGACCAACTGCTTTGCAGATAGCCCGGAGTCACCGCATTTGAACCTCCATAGCCAAAAGGGGATTTTTATTCCTCCTTGGATTTGAACCTGGGACCTCCTGGTATTTTTAACCTTTGGAGTCAAGCTCAAACCAATCATGCACCACCCTTGTGGATACAGTCATTTATTTTAGTATCATGCCTTCCATAAACCATAAACCATAAAATAGAAGCCAAGACATGGAGGATAGGATAAAGAAGCTCAAAACATACCTGAACTTGAAGAAGCATGCATGCATTTAGAAACATTCAGACAAACTAGGGCTCACATTCATAATATGTTTCACTAAATAAATCAACTCAACACCCCCTAAAAGTAACTTCATACCTTAGAAATTTACCCAATGGACTCTCAATAATAGGGGCTGTACCGCATTGCCATTCGGAACCTCGGAACTTTCCTGCATTTCATAAAATTAGCATTACGCCTTTTACGATCTTTTCTTTTTAATATTTTATGTAACCTCACGTTTAGCCATGTTTGAACCCTTGATCTCAAGGGAGACTGGGATATACTGGTAAAGTGGATACCGCTGAGTCAATGACCCTTTGGTAGGTTTTACACTTTACTTGGCTATAAAAAGAACCAAGTGTTATGCCATTAGAATGAATTGTACCCATATCCATAGGGAGCAAAGAAGGGGGCAGCCATGTACGGAATCCTGGACCGATAGCCCATATACGGGTTTGGACGCCGAGCACGAAACACCTTCATACCAGGAATGTTGGTCCGCTTTGCTGATACCTGGCAATAACGTTAACGGAGGAAGTTTATATTGACATCTAGCTTATCAACTAGTTTTTACCAAACATACCAACAACTACCTTATCAGCTAGTTTGCCGAACATACCCTAAATAAAAATGGAAAATTAGTAAACTAAAATGTTAGCACTTTTTTAGGAAGCGTTCCCAGGCTATTGCTGGACTAATCCCAGCAAATTGCCCCCTAAGAGGTTCACATGGCAGGGCCTGGCTTTCGAAGGTTAAATTTAGTCTTGCCAAAATGCAAAATATAGAACAAGGCAATGGACATTTCACCTTCAATTGGCGGCCATGAAGCTCAGATTCATTAAGAAGAATGGCCTCCTGAACGGCTTCTGGTTCAACAAACTCCACATAGGCATATCCCTTTGGTTGCCCAAACTTGTTGCTCCGAATAGTGACTCTATTCACAGTCCCACAAGCCTGAAAGTGTTGCTGAACTTCCTCAGGAGTACAAGAATAGTCCACCTGTTCACAAATAATGCCCGTCCATTAGCCAGTTGCAATGAAACAAAAACCACAATGATCTGATAACTTTAAATAAGCATACAATGAAATGAATGCCAACTTTAAATAAGCATACAATGGAAGATGTAGTTCCTTCATGGATATTGGAATAAAAACAATACTTTTTTCGGAAGGAATGAACACATTAATCAGATGCATTTTTTAATTTTTTTTTCATTGGAGGCAATAAGCATGTATATATATGTTATAGCTTCAATGTTTCGCAAGTAATAACTTGGTAATTTATCATCTTAGTAGAGAAGTGAAAAGGGAACAGAGTTACCCTTGATGCACTTTTTCACAGCAAGTTGCTCCAACTCAATACGGGCATCACTTCGATGGCTTCAATTCAGCTTGTCGCCATAATATAGAAATGCCTATATTCCTATAAGGATTTTTCTCTTTCTGGCCTATTTTTTCGCTCTTTGTTTTTTTTAACATTTCCCCTAAGCAGCTCTAATGATGCCTACTCTTTTTTTTTTCTTCTCGTCATTGTGTTCCACTTTTTCCCAATTGGGAACTTCTCATTTCTTTCAGAATGACACTACAATCTTTAAGCAACAGCTCTCTTTTACTTATCTTCTTCTTTCTATCAATCCAAGTTAACTTTTCACTTCCATTTTCTTTCTTTTTTCTTTTCTATAAATGGGCTTTAGATATTTATCAGAATGATCCCCCAGAAAGACCCTAGTTAATCAGAGCACTTGAAGCACAACCCTGTCGTCATAGAAAATGAAGTCAGCGTCATTTATCAGCTCTAAGATAAGGGCATCAAAATATATCTAATTTAACCATTACAGTATCGTTAGATCAAATACCTCTCAACCAGATTAAAAATATAACATAATAAACAGTTAATGAAGGGAACCAGCAATCATGTCTTACCTGTCCAAACAGGCATAAAGATTGACAAAATTAATGGTTTTGCCACACAAGTTGGCTGCAGACTATCTTTATGCTTGATGATCGTATTTTTGGTAGGTCTGTCTGTCATGGCTCAGGTCTAGTTCTATATCTTATCTGTCTGATCCTTTTGTATGAACCACAAATCAAAAAAGTGTCCACTGATCTAATAAATGATCCAATGGATTGACCCATCCAAGTGGATGAATGCCAGAATCGATCTATGATCCATCTTGTTTGGATCCAGCCACAACTTTTCATGTATCCTCTAAATGATTGTAATCTCCTGCAGATTACTTTGACATTGTAGAAAGCCCCCTACCACCGTCATGTAATTCTAGTTAATACAGTCTCCACTTCTATGGTACAATTTTTTAAAGATAATACCATACAAGTAGAGATTATGTTTAGGTGAGTCATAAAAATAGCTTATACAATATACGTTTGGATACTACACTTTAAAAGCTTGTACCATATTAACTGAGATGTACTTCTCTTTACATGGTACACTTTCTATTACTAATAATACGTCATATAAAATATATTTGATACTATAATCTAAAGACCTACATTATACAAGTGAGGATGCATCTTCAACTGTATGGTTCGAAGTTGTGTGCTAAATTTTGTATTTTTCATCTTATGGGAAAAAGGTTAAATAAGGGGGTCGATCTGAGGGTGATGATCCATTTGTTTAGATTAGCTGTGGACCATAAGTCGGATCATGATCCATTGACAGGCCAACCTTCAATCAAGAACAAGTAACGTTACATGTTGCTCCAAGGGCATGGTGCAGGTTAATTGCTGGTGCTTGTCCGTATGTGGCTGAACTTGGACATTCTCTATTCCCAACAGAGGTCCAGCAAAAATGCTCACAAGTGTCCAAAAGATACAGCATCTCTATTAACAAATTCTATTTTTGTGAGAAAATCATCTTCCCTTTTTCTTTCAACATGCCTCCTATTTGTTCTCACTCCTAGCAGTAGCATCCATCCAGCCATTAATGCACTTGGGTCTAGAATTTATTCTGCAAGCCCACCATCTTGAATTTTGGATGGAATAAAGGGATCTCCGTCCAACCTGTATATGTGCGTGTAAGCTTGCTTATTTCAGGGAAAGATGGAAATTTTCCTTCAGAGGAAGTCCACCCTTCTCTATGTTTCCCTTGTCATCCTAGCTTATGTGGTAAACAGGAGATTGTATGCTTCAAGTCTCACCACATCATATCTTGGCGTTGCCCTTGTTAACCTTGTCTATAAATATTCAAGGGATGATCAAAGGGCCATTGGCATCCGGTAAACACAACTTCCTGGAGGTTAGGGATTCAAGTCTCACCAAAGGTGAGAACTGTGTGTGAGTTTAATTTACCTATATAAATATTATATACTCCAAGAAAAATATTCAAGGGATGAACATAGGCCAAAACTTGTATGGATCTTCAAGAGCACCTTGATTATTTTTCACCCGACCCAATGCTGCACCTATGCAACAAATTCGAGGCATTACTCTTGACTGCACATTGATTTCAAAATTCACAAATCATTCAACAGAGCAGTTCTTGCTCAATTTCTCAATTCCATCTCGATGTGCTTTCGCAGACTGGCCGGCTCCCTCAACACCAAGCCTGAGGGTTCCAGCAAGACTCTCGTCATCTCCTAAAAGAAGAGCAAGGAGTTGTTCCTCCACCTAAGACATCAAAAGTTCTCATACATTGTGATTGTTTGAGGTTCGGATTAGAGTTATATTTACACAAGAAAACCCTCAGTAATAGCACATACTAAATGGAGCCTGACTAAACCTTAATTCTAAGTTCTAACATAATCTAAGTGTAGCTCCTAATACCTTGGATATCTTAGTGTTAAAATGTACACAATTTTTTACATTGATTGTATAGTTACAGAAGGGAAAGTGCACTTTGCTCGGAATAGTTACCGAGTGTAATCAAGTACCAAATAAGTCTCAAGTGGATTAACTTTAACCTTGAAACTAAAGATTTCCATCCAGCAAGTCAAAACTAATTATTGAAAATACAAAAAAGACCAAACTTAATATTAGTTACATCCATTGTTAGTTTACAAAAGCACCTTAAAATAAAACAAGAGTAGAGTTGTGTGTCTACCATACATCAATATCCCTGTCATTTCATACAGAAAGAGTCACTTTAAACTCTGGAATGATTAACTATTCTTAGCAATAAAGCTTACAAGTTCATTTGAATTTCAGTAAGCAATTTTTTAGATCCTTTCTACTTGTCTTAAATTGTTTCTTTTCTTCACAAGTAGAAGTTTCACGGTGGTTTTCAGAAACTTCAACCACGGAAGTTTTAAGTAGGTCGCAGATGAGAAGCAAAGGATGCATCATCAAACAACGCCAACGAAATAACAACACACAGGATAAAAAACAGATTCCAGTGCAAAAGCATGTTAAAGGAAACCCAGGTCCTATGCATATACAATATATCAAATGCAGATAGAGCCTTACATTTCCAACGAAAACTGATCGAGCATCTACTTCCTCCCTATTTGCCTGATTTGCTGTAGCAGTAGCAGGATCTGGATGCACATCCAAAACACATGTTAGGTAAAAGTGAAGAACATATGCACATGTCTTTATATATAAACAAACCAAACCAAGCCAGACCGACCTTGTACATCACACCTGAAGGTAGGGTCTTTTTTTTG